TGGCTAAAAAAAAAAAAATAAAAAAAAAAAAAAAAAAAAAAAAAAATAAATAAAAAAAAAAAAAAAAAAAAAAAAAATAAAAAAAAAAAAAAAAAATAAAAAAAAAAAAATATAAAATAAAAAAAAAAAAAGTAAAGGGTTATAATAAAAAAAAAAAAAAATTAAAAAATAAAAGGAAAAATTAAAAGACAAAAGTAATAAAAAATAAAAAAAAAAAAAACAAAAAAAAAAAAAAAAGAAAAAAAATAAATAAAAAAAAAAAAAAGAAATAATACAAATAAAAAATATAAAAAACCCAAAATGAACAATAAAAAAAATAAAATAAGAAAAAAAAAAATTGATAATTGGGCAAAAAAAAAAAAAAAAATAAAATAAATATAAAACAAAACAAATAAAAAAAAAAAAATAAGGATAAGGAAATAAAAAAAAAAATAAATAAAATAATCATTAAATAAAAAAAAAAATAGATGTAAAAAAACAAAAAAAAAAAAAAACCAAAAAAAAAAAAAGTAAAAAAAATTAGCATTAAAAAAAATTTATAAAAATAGGCAAAAAAAAAATTAAATGGAAAAATAAAAAAAATAAAATCACAAAATAAAAAAAAAACAAAAAAAGATAAAAAAAAAAAAAAATATATAAAAAATAAAATTAAAGAAAAAAATGAATAAACATATAGCTTTAGACAAAAGCTTGCCCAAGGCAAAGACAAAATAAAAAAAAAAAAACTGGTGATGGCCATAAAAAAATAAAAAAAAAAAAAAAACCAAAAGAAAAAAAAAAATCTAGAAATAAGCACAAGGAAAATAATAATAGCACAAAAAATAATATAAAAGTCTCAAAGAAAAAAAAAAAACAAAACTTATATAAATAAACAAAATGAATAAAAAAAAAACCAGGAGCATATTACCAAAACATAATAATCGAAAATAAAGAATCTCTAATAAGTAAATCCCAAAACTGAAACTGCATTAAGCATAAACTTGCAAATAAGAAAAAATCAAAACAAATAAAAAAACAAGAAAAATAAAAATTGTTTTCCTAAGAAAATAATAACATGCAGAAAAAAAACGTACTTCCAAAATGATTTGTGTCCTCGTAAAAAAAAATCATACTCTTTCCCCCCCCCCCCCCCCATACACTTAAAAAAACAAATAATAGAATAAATCCACAAACCAAATTTAGTAAAAAAGAAAAGTTAGGAATAAAAAAAATCAAAATACAATAAAAAAAGAAAAAATTAAATAAAAAATATCTCTTCTGTGAAAATGGGTAAAAATTGCAATCAAATCTACATAGAAAAAAGCCATTTTTTGTAATCCAAACAAGTTTTCAATACGGGGGAAAAACGATTTTTTCCTCTAAAATATATATATGCCTGGCTCTAAAGTAAAATAACATAAAAAAAAATTAAAAAAAAAAATGAACAGGACCAAGATCATGTACAAAATACCCAAATGAAAAATAAAACACCATGATACATATAAAAATATATGCTGGATTTTTTTGGGTCCTTCATTTGCAATAACAGTTTTGGTAATAAGTCCTATAAATTTGTTATAAGTAGCTTAGTCATTTCTTTCCCCACTTTAACATGATATTCACTGAAAGTAATACCTGGTTTTAAAGATTTCTTGCAAACATATGGAAAAACAAACAAGCATCATAAACTTCTTTTTGTCTCTTTGTAAATTTCCCATTTATGGGTATACTACGAGTAAGGTCCTGCACAATAAATGCAATATTTGTGCCCCCAAAATCCATTAATAATATTTCCCCATTCTGACAAACTTGATTATTATCTATATAATAGCAAAATACAAGCATTAAAAACCAGAAAGGCAATAATAAAATCAAAAAAAACAAAGGCTTATTGGCTTTTTGAAAATCTAAAAAAAAAAAAAAATATAATGCTGGCTTCAATCTCATATTCAGCAATGCCTGGCTTGATGAAATTTAAAAGTGCTAAAAAAAAGTATTTTTTTAGTAATATGAATACGCTTTTTTTCACCATCTCAATCTCTGCCTTTGCTTTTGACATACGAAGCATTTTCATAATTGTAGATGCTCGCTCATACTGATGTAAGGGTATATTGTTTTTTTTTATTTGCTCTATGAATCTATATATTTCGGCAGTTAGGAAGCACATGGGGCTTTTTTCTGTCATTTTCGTTTGTACATTTAAATAAATAATATCAGCTAAATGTCTATCCAAAGATTGTAATAAATTTTGTAGTTCATCTATAAATAATACTTGTCAATATTGCTCACTCTGAATGTAGCTTCTGCTTTGCTGAATTATTTTGCCATCCCAATTTTTCTTTTATTTCACTCGGACGCAAAATCACTAAATACTTCTTTATAATCTTTTTGTAAATTAATCAGGAAATAAAATTAACAATGTTTTCTTCTTGTTCAATACCTGTGAGCCAATAACAGTAGATCACTATTGGGTATAAAAAAAGTATATATAATTTGTCCCCATTGGCAATTATCAATTCATCATTAGAGCATAGAGCAAAAAATAAAGCTATACTAATTTTTTTTCATTTGCTTAATAAATCTTTTTTTATCTATTGTCAGCAAATAACATTGGATTGCGTTCAAAATATTACATATATTGATAAGAAAGTTTTTTCACACAAATTTAGAAATAATAAAGCAAAAGTAATTTCAAATTTTGTTAGTTGATTAAAATATATTTCACAAGGTTTTTATTTCTATGAATAAAAATTTTTGAACCCTTTATCTTTGGCACTTTTTAAATTTAAAGTATAGTTGTATGTTATTGGAGCTTTCAAATATGAAGTTAATCATATTGGGGAGCATTAAACTATTTTGGAGAATGTTGATTGGAGAGTGAATCAAAATGAAAAAATAGGAATTGTATGGTAAAAAATGGTGCAGGAAAAAGTAACCTTTTAAAATTAATGCTTCAAGAATATGCCCCCAGTGAAGGCTGTATAAATCAAAGAAAAAAAGATTTGTTGATTTGCATTTTTCATCAAGAATTTGTTGAGCTTAAATGTAGATGATTCTTTATTATGGATTGCATTACCTTTATTAAAGGAAAATCAACAATTTGGGAAAAAGAATTACAAGATATCTAGAGATGAAGAATTTAGTCAAGAAAAAAGCAATCCTTCTGAGGAAAAACTATTATATTATAGTAATTCAATTTAGTTATATATTGAAGAGCTTAAAAGTACGCTCAAAGTAATAGAATTATAGAATCTCATAAAGTTCTTATTGGGATTAGGGTTTAAAGAAGAAGATGATTTGAAAAGAATATTAATACATTTAGTGGTGGGTGGAAAATGCGGGCTTTTTTTTGGCACAAATGATTTTTAAAAAATCCAGATATTTTTAATCTTAGACGAGCCTTACAAACCATTTGGATTTGCCCACTATAAAATGGCTGGAAAGCTATTTGAAAAGCTATGCAAAAAGTTTTATTGTAGTAAGCCATGACCAGCATTTTTTAAATCAAATAGTTAATAAAATTGTTGAAATAGAATTAGGAAAACTCACCGAATATGTTGGCAATTATGAGCAGTATGTGCAAACAAAACAAGAGCGCATGGAACTACTCTCACGAAAGCCTATAATAATCAACAGCAATTTATACAACAACAAGAGCGTTTTGTAGAGCGTTTCGCTATAAAGCAAGTAAAGCGCTCAGTTGCTCAAAGTGTGTTAAATAGATTGGATAAAATTGATAAAATTGTATTGCCAGATACTGACAATCGCACTATTAAAGTTCGTTTTGAAATAGACCAAGCCTCTGGGAAAGTTGTTGTTTGAAGGCAAGTCCTTATCTAAAAAATATATGAATCATTATATTTTGGAAGACACAGATTGTTTGGTACTAAAAAAATCAAAAAATTGCCCTTATTGGAGAAAATGGTGTTGGAAAAATCTACATTATTAAAAATACTTGGTGATATAGACAAAAATATTAATGGCAGTATTGCTATTGGACACCAAGTAAATATTGCCTTTTATGCACAGCATCAAATAGAGTCTCTCAACCTTAATCATAATGTTTTGGAAGAAGCTATGACTGCTAATACCACTCGTACAAGTCAAGAGTAAGAAATCTTTTAGGCTGTTTTTTATTTGGCAAAAATGATGTTGAAAAAAAAGTAAAAGTATTGAGCGGTGGAGAAAAAGCTCGTTTAGCATTGCTTAAAGTAATACTGATGAAAGCCAATTTTTTATTATTGGATGAGCCTACAAACCATTTGGATATTGGATCCATTAAAATTTTGGCAGAGGGCTATTAAGCAATATGAAGGCACTGTGTTAATAGTAAGCCATGACAGGTTTTTTTTTATTAACGCAGTATTGCGAATACTATTTGGGAAATTAAAAATAAAAAAATAAAATCCTTTGATGGTACTTATGATGAATGGGATAATGTTTTTGGAATCCCAAAAAAAAACTACTGCATCAATTTTTAAGGAAAGCCCAACACATGCTACACCTATCGAAAAAAAAACAAAAAGTCAAATTAAAAATAAAGACCTCTCTTTCCAAGAAAAAAAGATTTAAAAAAAACTTTTAAAATTGTAGAAAATAAAATCAATGCTCTTCAACAAAAAAAAACAAATGCTGGAATTCACTTTGAATGGTACTGATTTATATACCAAACTCCACAATTAAAGCAAGTAGAGCAAGAATACCAAGATATACAAGCAAATTGTTGCTTTTAAATGAAGAATTTGAACAGCTTTTTAATATATTGATGAGCGAAGAATAATCCTTCTATTATGATTTTAAGCCATGTGTTAAATGGTTGCTTTATTATTTAGGAAATGTATTTATTTTATAGTAAATTTGTTTCTTTGTTTCTTAAATTGTTTTTAAGTACTTATAAATATGTCAGATCAAATTGAACATGGGACAATAGAAAAATATATTGCCCATTAATATTCAAGAACAAATGAAAACAGCATACATAGATTATTCTATGTCTGTTATTGTTGGGAGAGCATTGCCAGATGTTGAGGGATGGTATGAAGCCTGTACATCGACGCATATTATTTGCGATGTTAGAATTGGGCACTCTGCATAATAGACCACATAAAAAGTCTGCTCGTATTGTGGGAGAGGTCTTGGGTAAATACCACCCCCATGGAGATACTGCCCTGTTTAATGATGCTATGGCACGTTATGGCACAAGATTGGGAGCCATGCGTTATACTTTAATTGATGGACAGGGAAACTTTGGTAATCAAGATGGTGATGGACCCCCTGCTGCTATGCGTTATACAGAAGCTCGTTTACACAAAATGGCAGAGCAAACAATGTCTGATTTTAGATAAGAATACTGTACTCTTTCAACCAAAATTTTGATGATACTTTAAAAGCAACCAACAGTATTACCAACACGCATTCACAATTGTTAATTAATGGTTCTTCGGGCATTGCTGTGGGCATGGCAACCAATATGATGCTCATAATTTGAGGGAGGTCATCAATGCTTGTATTTGCGTTATGTAGACAATAAAGAAAATTACTATTGATGAATTAATGCAATTTGTAAAAGCCCCTGATTTCCCAACAGGAGGTATTATTTTTGGTGTAGAAGGTATTAAACAAGCCATGCACACAGGAAGGGGCAAAGTTGTTTTAAGAGGTGTTACCAACATAGAAAATAAAGCCAATGGGACAAGACCAAATTATTATTACACAAGTACCCTATCAAGTGAATCGTGATGAGCTTTGTAATAAAATTGGTGAGCTTGTTAATAATAAAGTCATAGATGGTATTTCTAATATTAATAATGAATCCAACAGACGTGAGGGAACACGTATTGTGTTAGACATTAAGCGTGATGCTATGGCATCTGTTGTATTAAATCAATTGTATAAAAATACTGCCTTACAAACTTCTTATGGCATCAATAATGTTGCCTTAGTAGATGGACGTCCAAAAACCTTGAATTTAAAAAATTTAGTAGAGGAATTTATTAAATTCAGGCATGAAGTTGTATTAAAACGCACACAGTTTGAATTAGAAGAATCAGAGAAAAAAGCTCATATTTTAGAGGGTTATATGATTGCTATTAATCATTTGGATAAAGTTATTGAGTTGATTAAAAGCTCTAAAAAATCCAGAAGAGGCAAAAGCTGGTCTAATAGCTCAATTTGATATGAGTGATATTCAAGCAAAAGCTGTTTTAGAACTGCGTTTACAACGTTTAAACAGGTATGGAAATACACAAAATCAAAGAAGACTATGAAGCTTTTTAAAATACATAGCAGAGTTACAAGAGATTTTGGCAAATGAGAGACAAACGTTTTTTTAATTATTAAAAATGAATTGATAGAGGTTAAAGAGAGAATTTTGGAGATGAACGAAAAACTCAAATTCAATATTTGGCAAATGAAATTAGTATAGAGGATTTTAATAAAAAATGAAGATGTTGTTATTACTATTTCACAATTTAGGATATATTAAAAGAACCATAGCCACAGAATATAAAGCCCAAAAAAGAGGAGGTAAAGGTGGCAGAGGTGCTCGCACAAGGGAAGAGGATTGGGGTTGGTGAACATTTATTTATTGCCTCTACACACAATAACTTTATTGATATTTACAGAACAAGGCAGTGCTATTGGATAAAAGTATATGAAATTCCGAAGGAGATAAAATTGGGAAAGGTAGACGCTATTCAAAAACCTTTTGCAATTGATGCCAAATGATAATGTTCGTGCTGTTATTAATGTTCCTAATTTGACAAATCAAGAATATATCAATAATCATTATATTGTTTTAGGTACTCACTAAAAAAGGATTAGTGAAAAAAACACAAATTGAGTGAATTTGCCTCCCTCGCCAAACAGGTGTTAATGCCATTACCATATTAGAAAATGACCAATTATTGGAGATGCTTTATTAACACAGATGGTAATTGTGAAATGATGATGGCTTTGAAAAAATGGTTTTTTATTAAAGCCATCCGTTTTGATGAAAATAATGTTCGTCCTACCGGAAGAGGTGCACAAGGAGTTACAGGTATTGATGTGGACAAAAATGATGAGTGTGTTATAGGCATGATTAGCATAATAAAAAATACTGAAAGAAATGTATTAGTAGTGTCTCAAAAAGGTTTTGGCAAACAAACACCAGTAGATGAATACCGCCTACAAAAGCGTTGCAGGGTTCAGGAGTAAAAACGTATTAATATTACTGAAAAAACAGGGAGCTTGATTGGTATTATTGATGTGGCTGACAATGAAGATTTGATGATTATTTGTAAATCTGGTATCACCATTCGTATGAAAGTGAGTGATATTAGAGAAACAGGAAGGGCAACCCAAGGTGTTCGTTTGATAAAGCTCACCTCTGATAATATTTGCAGCCATTACAAGAGTTGTTGTTGAGGATGATAGCGATGATAATGATTCAAATGAAGATACAAATAATGAAATTTAAATAAGAGAATAAAAATTATCTCTAAAATGTATATTTTGTATCATTGTAAATATATTAAAATATTTTTTTTTGTATAATATAGTTGTATTATTAGTATTTTTTATGAGCTTGTTTATGTCTTTACAAGCACAGAGTTTTTATAAAATAGAGAGCCTAATAGGTGAAAAAAAGTATGATGAGGCTTACAAAATATTATGGATATGCAAAGCCAAAGACACAAAAAGGAAAAATGAATACCAATCCAGAGCCTATTATTGGTTGGGGGGGGGGGGATGATTTATGCCAAGCTAAGTGAATCTGCTGATTTGAAAAATAAAATTCCAGCCTTAGAGGGCACTAATGTAGTATTAGCTTCTTTGGAGAATTTTAAGAAGTGTTTTGCATTGAAAAAAAAACTATCCTAATTTAATGCTTACAGGTAGTCTCAAGTGCTTTTTAATATGTATAGTAAAACTTTTCAAGCAGGTCTTGATGATTATAATGATAAAAAATTTGAGGATGCTATATTCAAAAATTAAATTATTGTAGATTCAGTAGGGCAATTTTATGTATAATTTGATGATTTTGGTAGAGACCAACACACACACGACAGTGTCTCAGTTAGATACTACATTATGTTATTTATACAGGTTTGGCACATGTTAATGCTACAATTGATAATCCAGATTCTACAAAAATATTACAGCATCAAATAAAGCAGAAAAATATTTTTCTAAGTTAGTAGATATTCATTGGACAAAATGGCATGAAAGATGTTTGTAAATGGTTAGTTTCTATTGCTCTTACATTAAATAATGAAGAATGGTTTAAAAATATATTGAATATGTAAAAACAAATTATCCCAAAGACCAAAAATTATGGAATGATTTTGAAACTGAGTTTTGCATTGAAAAGTGCTGGTGATAATAAAATTAAAATCTATTGAGGTATATAGAGAGCTACAAAAAAAAAATCCCAAGGATTATACATTTTTCTATAATGAATGTGTTGAATTATATCAATATATATTGTTGATAAAATATCCTTGAATTTGATAACCTAATATTGGATTTAGAAAAATCTGCAAATTCATCATTTGAATTACATTCAAGAGGCTTACCAAGCCTTATATTTGGTACACTGCGTGTGCTTATGTTGTAAAGTATGATAGCTATTCAGATTCTATTCGCAATGTACAAAAAGCACAACGTGACATAGCTGCAAAATATGCCAATGTCCCCAAAGGTAGCAAGAAAGAAAAGGAAAAAAATATTGCTTTATCAGAGGGTAAAAAAACACATTCAGTCATATACAGCCATGCAACAAAAAATATGCACAAGCAGCTTTGGATATTTCTTTAAAATTAGAAAGCTATTTGGATGCAAATATTGCTAATTTAAAATCTAAGGATAAGGCTTTTATATAGAGAGATTTTAGAAAAATTTAGCTACCTTTTATGATGTTTTAAAAATATTGACAAAAGCGATTTTTTATAGCAATAAAGCCAATAAGATCAAATAATATTTTTAAAAAAATTATTAGAAAAAAGCTAACCTAATAAGTTAGCTTTTTTTATTTAGATGATATATTAAGGTCTGCTTGAATAAAAAATACAAAAATGGGATGCGGATTTTCTACTGTACTTTTTAATTCAGGGTGAAATTGGGGTAGCAATAAAAAAAGGATGATTCTTAATCTCTATAATTTCTGCCAATGAGGTATTGCTATTTTTACCACTAACAATAAGTCCTGCTTTTTCAAATGTCGGCAAGATATTCATTATTCATTTCATAGCGATGGCGATGTAGCTTTCTCTTATTATATTGGTTCCATAGATTTTATGTGCTAATGTATTTTCAGTAATGCTACATTCATAAGCCCCCAATCGCATTGTAGCACCTTTTAAGGTATGTTTTTTTTTGTTCTTCCATTAAGTCAACAACAGGATAAGGTGTTAGACTTATCTGCTTCGGTAGTCATAGCATTGGTATATCCTAATACATTTCTTGCATATTCTATAATAGACATTTGCATACCGAGGCAAATGCCCAAAAAAAGGTATTTTATTTGTCCTTGCATTATTTTACAGCACAAATTTTGCCTTCCATACCTCTTTCTCCAAATCCTGGAGCAATTAATATGCCATCTAATTCTTTTAAAAAAATTACTTTTTTCAGACTTATGAAAACATCGTATACCTTGCTCAATATTTCTTCTGTTATGAGTTCGCTTTGTATGGGATAAAAACATATGTACTTTTGACATTCATTGGCAGCACCGCTGCATGTATAAAAGATTCTAAAATAGATTTGTAAGCCATCTTGCAACTCAACATATTTGCCCAAAGCAAAGCAATATGTACTTCTACTTTTGGATTGAATAATTTATTTAAAAATAAATTCCATTTTTCTCTAATTGGGCAAATTACTATTATCTATATTGAGTTTTTTTTAATACAAATACTATCTAAAATTTTCTTTCATCATTGCAAAGGGACACTATATTATACTTTTAGCATCCAATGCTTGAATTACACTCTTCTTGTTTTACATTACATAATAAGGCAATTTTCTTTTTTATTTCTTGATTAATAGGGGTGTTCAGTACGCGCAAGACTATCATATCAAGGTTGCAAACCTGTTTGTTGTAACATGCGTACACTGTGTTGTGTAGGTTTTGTTTTTAAACTCTTTTTGCTGCATTTAAAAAAGGAATTAGTGTAAGATGAATGAATCATACAATCATTGTCTGGCAATTCCATTGAAATTGGCGAATGGCTTCAATAAAAGGCAAAGATTTCTATATCCCCCACAGTGCCCCCTATTTCTGTGATAATAATATCATAGGCTTTTTCTTTTTCAAGTATTTAAAGCCATCTTTTAATTTCATCTGTAATATGGGGAATAA